AAAACTTTCTATATAGAAAGTAGCTGTTCCAACTGAGCAGAACTGTATGGCTAGAATAAAATGTCAAATGTCTGTCTGAGAGCAGGTCACTTACAATAGCAGATTATAATTATTTATGGATATCATAATCTCCAAAGAAAGAATATTATGCTTATAAATTAATTTGGAGGAGTAAACAGAAGACAGAAAATCACATAAGTGATGAAAAACAGAATATTTCTCCATGTGGTGACAATTCTTTAATTTTGTTCCTTCACAGATTTTTTTTTTTTAAAGCTTTTTAAGGAATTTAAGGATATGTAAGTTTTCATGTGTACTCTTGTTTTCCCGCACAGTGTTATCGTAGGCATAATGGGCATCTGAAAAAAAACCCCACCAACCACCTACTTAAATCCTTCCACACAGGCATAGTTCTTACTGCACAATAGGTAAATTACAAACACTTCCAAAGACACCATTCCTAAAAAAAAAAAAAAAACAGATTCAGACACAAGTTTTCTTGAACAGTATTCCAGCTTTAATGAAGCCAGAAGTGAAAACCATCAGAACAAATCCATACATCTCTATACAGCCTTTGGAGCATGGCTAAGTATCTATCATTTCCTATATAAAATCAGTTGAGAGATCACAATGGCAACGTGCCCTAACTAGGAAATACAAACACGTTCTTGCAAGATTATTTAGCTGGTTTTGATCGTAGCCGTCGCTTGAGGGTAAGATGATCACTTTCCTTCACTTCGGGTTCTATAAAGATCTGAAAAAGATGATAATTCCAGAGTTACTCCGCATTTCTTCAGAGACAAATGACAGGTACTTCTAGACCCATGTAACCAACAACTTGTTTTTTCCCAGAAGCTGTTTTCAGAATCAGATATGACCCTTTTAGTTAGAGGTCTCCAGGACAAGGGAGTCCATGTGAGTGTGTCATAATAGTCAACAAATGCTGGGAACATACAAAATGCAGTTTTTTGCTGAAACAAATACCAAAGTCCACAGAAAAATATGGTCTGAGAGCAGCTCCCACTTCTGATCTCTAATATTCATTTCGTGAAACAGGGAGTGCTCAGAAAATGTATTTTAGCTTAAACACTTTAGCCCTCTCTGGCTTTCCCAGGGTTCAGTCTTTCAATTCTCCTTTGATTTCCAAGCTTCTTAGCTTCTTTTGCTCTGCATGTCCATAATTTTCTTCATCTTCCTACGGACAGCATGCTTGGTTTCTGCCACGTCCTTTCATACAATTTACAGCAAATTCAGTGGGATATCTCAGTATGGGCAAACACACCCCAGTGAAGGGAAGAACTGAACAGAATGAGGAGATGTACTTCCAAGAGAGCAAAAGCACACTCAGGCCTACGGTTACTGCCAAAACAATAAAGTTGGATTTCAGAAACAATGCATCAGGCCATGGTCTGTAAGGCTCTTTACAGGCTGGCTTAGTCAGGGCAACACAATTTAAGCACAGCAGAAGGCTGTATAAACTGTGCTTTGGAAAAGCATCCACATCCTAAAAGTAACCCAAATATCGGCTGGGCACAAATGGAACCTGAAATTACCTTAGGCACTCACTCACCCTGCAAAGTTAAATGTATATGCAGACTTTTATCTCTAGTGTTTCAACCATGCTATCCCAGATCTACAGATCCCCTTAATGGTATCTATTTTTATTCTCCTTTTAAGCTACACTACACTTAAAAGAACACCAACTACTAGAAAAACAAATTCCATCTCAACTGCTATACTGTTGCAGTGTGCCTCCCAGAGGCAGAGGTTTCTATTACCTCTTTGTCCCCAAACATGGGCATATATCCAGAATTTTCCATCTTTCCCAGGTTGTGGCTGGCTTAGCCACCACAAGACCAATCCCCTAACACCCATCGGACCCCTGACCTGTAGGGATCCCATCTGTGTATCCTTACAGGAAAATGCCTTTTATAAACCCACCTACCAACCTGTTAAAAACCTCTGACCCCGAGGCCACATGCTCTTTTGCTTCTCCCCCTGGGGTGGGTACTGTTTTCAGTGCCTGCCTCAGGTGTTTTTGTTTGTTATATTCATGTTATTAAAACCTTTTATTTTGGAAGAAAGTGATTGTTGCCCATTCCTCCTTTCATTGCCATTGTCCTCCTGTTTGCAGTAGAAGACCACCCTGGAGGTATTACTGGGGTCCCGCTGGGGGTTTTTTCTTCCTGAGCAAAACCAGCGGGTATAAAACCCTGATATTTTTGAAAAGTAATACTATACCAGAGGAAAAAAAAAAGTAATTCTCTACCTACCACAACTGAGAAATTTACAACCTAAATTTAAAGATAACTCCATGATTGCTTTATCGCCTGTACAGTAAGTCAGCAGTCAAACACAGAGAAGATAGGTGAGGAAAAACAGAAAATTCTGTAAAATGGCAGGAAAGAGACCAAAAGGAAAGGTTAGGTCGACTCAAAAGAGAAGTCACTGCTTTCACACCTCTTCTCCAGCTTGATCAGACCTTCAGGTTTGTTCTGTCCTTCGACTAGTTCACTGGTTTAAGCCAAGATTACAGAAATATATTACAGCGGACAGAACAGTAATCTGTAATCACTTACTGAAGAAGCAGAAATATCTAGAGGGCAAGAAATGTTGGTTGAATACAACTTCCTCTTAGCTTGTTTTGGCTTGAGCTTGTTTTCTTTGACAGTTTCAGGTTCTGCAGACTTGGGAGAGCTTATTGTCGCAATCAGCTTCTTTGCTAGAAGAGAAATTTTGATGTAAATCAATGTCTCACTGGTTTTGTGAGCCTCAAAATTAATGAATAAAGCAAGCTTTCTTAATAAGAGTTTAAAAATAAAACAGATGTTCCTTGAAGCTTAAGGTAATCAAGGTTGTAAACCTGAGCTCATTTACTCTTAAGTATTTTCAGGCTGAAATTCTGAGTAGTCGGAATTTGGCTTCCTTTTATAATGCCATGTTGTCCTTGAAGCAATTTGACAAACTCAGAAAATTTTAAGAAATCCCACTATTGTCACCTAGACTGTGTTACAGCAGATAGATGTCCTCTGTAGCAAGTCAAGTTTTCAAGTTGGTACAGAGATCTTGCTTTTAACTGTCCACACTGAATAATGACTGGCCTTGTTTTACCTGACCAAATAACAGGATCTTTTAGAATTTAATGATGCCACTTCCATGTGCCCTCTGATAATATTAAACTTTTTAAAAAATACAGTAACTCAGAGGTCATGTCTTACTGCAGGAAAGAATAAAAATAGATTCTTCAGTGGAAAGGCCTCACTGTTAATCTTCCCAAGGCTATGTCTAAACTCAACAAAACCCATTCCTCGCTTCATAGCCAGTTTACTGAAGTCCACATATATGCCAGACGCGTCAGCTTTCAAATTCTATAGGGCTAATCTTCCCTTCCCACATACACATATAAAAAACCATTAAAATACAGTTTCCACAGAAACAAAGCTGGGGGGCAGGGGCAAGAGTGAATTCTTATAGAACAAGGTAAGATTTGGAGTTTTGCTTCAGCTCTTCATTTTTTTCAGAGCGGCAGGGTAGGTTTCTGAATTTGCCTTTCACTCTTTTACTGTGAGCAAGAACAAAGTAACTCAGACATTTTGAACTTAGTAGTCGTCATTGCTTTCACGATAAATACATATGCACATATTCCACACTGCATCCCTTCATTCTCCCTGGTTTACCTTGGACACTTAACCTAAACTTTAGAGCTCTGTGGTCCTTGCAATCAAGACAGCATTTTCTACTCTGCAATATTCAACAGAGCAGGCCCCAGTTCATACTCTGTTATTTCATAAATAAAAGAACAACTTAATGCAGCAGACGTGGCCTTTAAAAACATACATTAATAGTTTAAAGTAGAAAAAAGCTATTTTGTAATGCCCAGAGAAGATAGTATGAGCTTTATTTATTCTGTACTAACCTTTAGACTGAATAAGATTAGGAGAACTTTGAAAAAAATCTCCAATTTTTTGCAGTGTTCCATCTTTCTTTTTAGCTGATTCTTCACTTGCAGTAGAGTCTTGCTTTCTTAAAGAGTAGACTTTTCTAAATGACTGTGTAGTAGACTTCTGTACAGAAATAAAACAAAATAGACTTATCTTCAAATTTAATTCCAATTTATTGGACTTCAATATTAATTTTCAAGCTGGCACTTTGAGCTTTGCTACTGACGTATCTGTTCATTATACTAATGATACTACCACAGCAAGCAACGTAGACAACCTCATTTTATGTCCAGAAGGAAAAGAATTTGTCTGTTTCACATAATGTATTTAAGGATATTAGCAATAAGAAACAAATAGTTTCTTTCTTTAAAAAAAAAAATACTCTAAGTTGTAGAGTACTTCATTAGACAAGGTGTTCTGGTTCAAAGTAAAACAGATGGGAATTAACGGGGAAAGTAAGTGTCCTACCTGCCTCCTGACCCTGCCTACATTACTACTAAGGACTAAAATAATTTTAGAATTGCCACACATATAGATGACATGAACTTAGTTTTACTTCAAAAGCATTGCCTATAGCACCACATATACTAACAGTATGTTCAAACTAGTCTTTCATGATTATTCCACAAGCAGCATCATTCCCTTAGAATCATTGTACACTGCAGCTAGTACACATTCATGGCAGATGCAGACTTACTCTCTTTAGTCAGCTCCTAGGCTTTAGTAGGAAGACAATGTAAGTGTTTAACAATCCCCTTCAAATACACAGACAGAAGACACTGATGTGTCAGGACTTTTGCTCCTTTCTACCTTTACAGAACAGGCTAAACTAACTTCAGAAATAGAACAAAACCAAACCTTTTTCCCCTTGCTTGTAGAAGGTGCATTAGTCATAGCAGATTTTGCATTTTTCTTATTCTCACTTCTCACAAAATCCTAAGAAAATAAACATGACAAGATTTAAGTAGGATTCTTCTGGAAAGAACAATTATTTATACTACAGAAATTGTCACTGTTTAAATGCTCTGAGTAACAGCAGGAAGGCATCGACTAATACTGGACAGAGGTAACTATCCAAATGTGAATTAATAGGCTAGACAAACGTGTGGAAGGGAACTAGAAATACCTGTAGTCAAACCATTCGAATAGTTACTATCTTCCTCTCTCCAATACTTCCTCACTCCCATCACTCATCAGGGTTTGAGGGAAAAGAGGCTTACATATACCCTAGATCTCTCCTTAGGATCTCGGTGAGAATCAGAAGACAGGAATTTTAACAAATGGTCAGAGTAATACACTGAAAAACTGCTTCATGTATTTTGCCAGCTGGTCTAGGTCTTACCTCCTCCATCTCTTCACTCTTCCTTTTCTTTGTCTTGAGCATTTTAACCGTCACTGGTAAGGTACTGCCTTGGTGCTTCACCTCCATCTTATTGGGTTGCAGAGGTGTGAACTGGATTTCCATCTCTGGTTTTGGGAATCGACTAGTTTTACCATCTTCTGTGGACACTTCAGAAGAGTCAAGGACTACTTCTGAATGGTCCTGCAAGCATATGGAAATTTTTAAGAAAACAAGCTTTAAAGTAACGGTGAGCTAAAAAAACATATTCCATGTTCCCTCCCCAGTGGACTGCAAAGTAAGCATTCCATTTTCCATGATTTCACAACCATGATTTCATATGCCTCAGCCCCACAACTCTCTGGTGGTCTTAACCTCTCCTAATTGGAATGCCAGCTTTACTCTCTCCTTACAAGGCAGGAGACACACATTGCCTTGATCACTTTAGTTTTTCTTTATCTCCACTATGTTTTTCCTGAGAATTATTTGTCTTTCACCTAAAATTTAACCCCATTTCCTTCACCACCACCGTAACAGTTTCTCTAAAATAATCTTGTTAGCAGCCTCTCTTTATTGAGGACTTCAAGTATCGTTGCTGCTGCCTTGAGGCGAATACTCCAGCACCAGCTGTTCACAACAACTCCTCTATATGTAATTTTATAGCAAAAATAACTAACTTTACAGTGGTTGTGTAGATGCTATTACAAAGCTGTATAAAGCAGTAACCCTTCTGAGAGCTATTTTGCTCTTCCTCATACATCACAAGCTGTATCTATAGGGCACTAGCTGAACTGATACATTATCAAGAAACTAGCCAGTCTTATTTGACAGTAGACAGGATAAAGGTGAAGAGATGTATTCTGGCATTCAGTCCAGTTCTGTACAAGAGGAGAATTGCACCTTCTAGCAGCCAGAGGCAGGACAGCTAAGAAATCCATGTTCAGCCTTGTTCATTATTGATTAGTAATGGAGCCACATAACATTAATCCAGTTTAGCAGAACTACTTCATTATTGTTCGTGTAGGACACAAAGGTTTGGTCAGAATCAGAAGTCTCACTAAAAGCCTTTTAATTTTTTTTCAGGTAATACATGAAGTCGATCTGTTCCTTGTGTAAACTTCAAGTATTGTTTTGGTTTGTTTTTAAGTGGAATGCAAGATGCTGCTTTGTTCTTGTGAACCTACATATGGGTAGGCAACTCTAATTACAGAATCATCTCTAGTACCACACTACAGGTGATATCAGGGAAGTTGAGCTGAAATCAGCTAAACACTATCATATCTAAACTGAGATGACGCTAGAAGTACTGTGTCTTAAAACCTCTAGAACTTTGATTAGTTAACTAGCTTTTCCATCAGGTGCATAAGTTCTATAATGTATAGAGAGGTGGTATCCTATTAACTGAAGTATAAACTCAGAACTGAAGGTATTATTAAAGCACTAAGAACGACTGAAAGTAACTTGTGCGAGATTCCTGGCATTGCTGAGATATATATTGAGAAAACAACAAAGCAAAAGTTAATAACAATATATTGTTAGCACCTACTTTCTGTAATGTAACACACATACCTCTTTGTTTATAGACTGGTCAGTTTTATCTTGTCCTTCTTTAGGTAAATGTACTTCTGCCAAAGACTGAAGGCTTTCATGGTTCATGTGGTGTTTTGGTGCCTTTATACAGTCATCTTTCTCAGCCAGCTGTTTTCTTGGTTCTTCTGTATCCGCTTCCTTTTGCTATAAAACACAGTAAAATTGTAGGATTGGCAAAAGAAATTAACTTATGCACGAGCACCATCACAATTACTCTGTAGCATCAATTTTAGAATTGCAGGCTAAAAGAGTCGGCTATCCAACAAAAAGCCAGCAATTTCGTGTATAAGTGGCCACTATTTAAAGTTAAGAACAGTCATATAACACCTGAAGATTAAATGCAAAACTTAGTTTACTTATGTAGAGTTACAAGAAGTTCACCACCCGTTTCTGTGAAAAAGGCAGGAAATGTGAAAGTTTTTTGAGATTTCCAGTCCAACTTTGCAATCAAATGATCAAATAGAATTGAATGTTTATTTGAACTACTAAATATTTTGAAACTTCCTCCACTGCTACAAACTCAGTTTTAAAGAAACATAAATAAAAGCTTTTTAATTAGCTGCAAATTATTTCAGTACGAATGTTTAAGAAAAAAAACAACAGAGCCAAAACACAAAGAGCGAATATAACGTTTTACAGAATTAGTGGATAACAAAAAAAAAAACAAACCAAACCACAAAACAAAACCTGAAAACCACAAAATCACACAGGCACAAGAAAGAGAGTTGACCTTTCCCGAATCCTTTAGTGCAGCCTGTTTCAGTTCTTCGATTTCCTTATCTTTTTGTATGGTGCGAGAGGCTAAAGTGTTTATCTGTAATTCCAAAGCTTCTACTAATTTATCTCTTTCTTCACGCCACTTTTGAAGATTGTTGTCCTTCTCTACCAGCTGTGCAGCAAGCTTTTCCTAACAGGGAGGGAGAAAAGTTAGAATTGAACACCACATCTACACACCATCTGAACTATTCTGATAGTTTGGTTTTGCATAACCAGTCCTAGGCCTTCTGAGAGCCTACGTACACCCTAAAAAGCTCACAAAGAACTGGTTTCAGTACAAATGTGCAAAAGTAAGCCATGCTCCAATAAGAAAATCTGGATCTATATTAATTCCCTTTGTGAAGAGACCTTTTGGTAAGAACCACCACTACTGTTTGCTCTCTTTGTGATTTTATTGCTACGTCTCAGGCAACCAAAGGCACAGACAAAGCGAAAGTCACCCTAAATTACTAACACACTCCTGGACTGATTGTAGGTCCAGAAAGTCATTGCTAACTACGAGAAGCGAAGAAAGCTTCAGACTGTACAGATTCATATAATAATTTCAGACTCTGAAGAATTACAACATTGAGGCAGTCCAGCAAAGAGGTGTGCACCTTGTTATTAACTATCAGTCACTCGACTTTGAAAGCCATATGGGAGCAAAGCCACCGGCATATTGACCAGGTAATTTTCTTC